TTAGTCTCATCTAAGGTGCAAATCGTTTGCGTCTTATAAATAGTGTCAGGTATTTCAACCTTAACTTAATTTCAACCTTCCATCTGCTACTAGCCTTATCAACAAGGCCCAGAGATCCTGTGACACTGTCACTGCCTCTGCCACTGCCTCTGTGTATATAGTACATAGCTATATACTATATATTGTATATAGTATATTGTATTTTTTATATTGTATATAACTATAGATCCTGTATTCTTTATATATAAATATATAGTTCGTCTGCACTATTAACACCAAGTCAAATTCTTTGTAAGTGCAAACCTACTTTGCAATAAACTTTATTCTGGTTGTGATTCTCATTCTAATTAGCAATGGCTATGTTTCTTTCATTATAAGAAAAGGTGTATGGTTAGAAGCTGGATTCATATGAATACATTCAGCCACTGGATTGTTGAAGTCGTAAGAATATGTGTATACACATATATCAATGAAAGATGATAATTTGGTTTAGTAATGAAGTGAAATTGTGGGAAAAAAACAATCGCTTGCTCAGAGAGCCTGTTGTTGTCCATGAACGGAGTGGAAACACAAGAGCCTCAAAGTTTAAGCATGTGTCCGGGTGTGTGTTTGTGTTTGTGGGTAAGTCACTGGAGGGGATAAAGAGCCATTGTCTGCAGCTGGTGCATCCCCCTACTCCTTCTCTGTGCAGCTGTGAGGAAATCAAACGCTCTTCTTTTCCTCGTCTCTGCCTCTGTCACAACCTGCTGATGCCTTATTAGGTCATCCATGGTGATGTGTAGTGATGGTTTGTTTAGAGTTGTAGGCCGAACGCCAAGCTGTTACATATGGACCAATATCCTACATGGCACCACCGTGACGTCCGACGTCTCTCTGAAATATAAAAACATATATCTTATATAACTTTAATATTTGGATATACTCTTCCATTATTAAGAATGTTAGGACACTTATTGGTTACAATAAGAAAGGACATAAACAGGCCTGTGTGCCATCTGGCAGTAGTACTGAAGAACTATCAGAAAGCTGACAATTAAGGCCCTTACTTAACAGAGTCCAACTGTCCTGAAATGCGATGCGGTAAAGCGACAGCTTGGCATGGTCAAAGACCAAACGATATCCGTTAAATAAACCAATCTACAGAATTTTTAAATTCTAGTGAATCTCAGAACCTCCTATCAGAACATCAAGAAAAAAGAATATTCCTGTTCCTGCCAAACGCAAACAGGAACACAGCATCAAGGTAAGAAATATTTCAATTGGATATATTTGTCAGAACTCATAGGCTAAAGCTTTTTCATCGGAATGAGTGTAAAATAGACACATCAAATGCTATTTAAATAGAAAGTACATTGTTGATGAGCTCTAAATATTAAATCTGATCTTTAGTCTTCATGGTTTTAGCAGATGTGGCAGCAAACTGCCCAACCCAACATGCTCTGTTCACTTTATTTCCGTCCATATTAGGGTCTCTGGTTTTTTTTTACTGTTTTACTGGTGTGAGTGAGCTTCCCGTTACAGATCTTTGCTAGTGGCTGGGCTGACCCATGTTGCTGCACACCTGAGAACACTTCTCAGTCAAGATGACTAGCGTGTATATAAGGAGGCAAAGGATCATGATTAGCTCTGATAGTATTCCAGCCAAAGACCTAATTAAAGGAATATATTCCTTGTAATAGAAGTTCTTACCTGTGTGTAGCAGTTCTCAGCCTTCGTCACCCTGCTTTTCCTCTCCCCAGCACAATGTTTTTTTGCAAGTATCACACTAAGGTGGACCTTTGAGGTACAATCTACAAAGCCTGCTAACTCGAATACTTGCAGATCCAAGCAACCTCTCCTTATCTCCCTCCATTTTTCCATTTTGCGTCCACTTATCCTTGCTGGGGTTGCGAGGGGTGCTGGTGCCTATCTCCCGCTGTCAATGGGCAAGAGGCAGGGTACACCCTGGACAGGTTGCCAGTCCATGGCAGAGCAACACTGAAACAAACAGAACAAACAACCATACCTGTAAACACTCACACCTAAGGAGGATTAGAGAAGCCAATTAACTTACTAGTCGTGTATATGGACTGTGGGAGGAATCCGGAGTACCTGGAGAGAACCCACGCATACTTAGGGAAAATATGCAAACTCCATGCAGAAAGACCCCAGGCCGGAAATCAAACTCACAATCTTCTTGCTTCAGCAGTGCTACTCACTGTGCAGCCTCCTTCTTCTCTTAAGTAAGGCAAATCAAACAGTTGTAATCAAGCAACTCCATCCTGATCAGCCTGCTTTCTCCCCTCAGACTAACCAGAAAGTTACAACTGACTCATCCGCACTTCAATATTCTTGTTTGCTATTTATAAATAAAATGTTAAATTTCACTTGTTGTCTGTGTGATTCTTCATGCAGGTCAAAACACTACAAACCTAATAACAAATAGTCGCCAGCAGGTAATCTTTCAGAACTACTTTCTTTGCAACTGGTATGAACTACTTGAGTATAAATGAAAACAAATGTCATATAATGTTACGACTTTTATGGACTATTTTCTCTCAAATGTTTTGTACATATCCTACAAACCTGAGCTCCACAGATTATATCCGCATCTCAGATTTTGTCGTACTTCATTACAAACTTTTTTAAAAACCTTTTTTTCCCCTAAAAGGATTTTACTAGTCCTATACTGCCTTAAGATGTATGCAAAAATCTAAAATCATCATTTAGCATTGTTTGAAGCTTGGACAAATGTATAAAATGTTTTTTTTTTCTTCACTGTGGCTTGAACTTCTGTTTTTGATATTGATATTTCTAAGAAACATGAAATGCCGTGTTGGAAAATTAAAGTTTAAACTTCAGAGAACTAACCATATGCAGCTTATCTCAAATTATTTCAGTCATAACTCTGCAAACATTAGACTTACAGTGTTTTATATGGCTCTTTCAGCCTTTGTTAGCTTTAGGTCATTTTTCGCCCCCCAAAAAAATATATATTTGGCCAAAACCAAATATTAGAAGTGTGGCCCTTTGATCAGATTTACTAAAAAAGTCATACAGCTTTTCTTTCATTCTTTACAACTTTTCTATTCAACCACTTTTAATATTTATATCCCTTTGTGATCCTTAGACAAAAGGAAATCTTTTAAAAATACTCAAAGATATTTGCTGTTAAAGTGAAAACAGTTGTGCCAAATAATCAAGTTGTTTATATTTGGATATAAGTTCTATAAAAAAAAAACAAAACAAAAAAACATTTACCTTAAATATTTTATGTAAACATGAAAAAGATTGAAAATCTAAAAATGGAAGTTTTGTAAAAAATAAAGATTTGAAATTAAAAAAACAACCTATTTTTAAGTCCACAATAGTATAACTGTTGTGATGGATAAACACCGTAATGTTCCGCTATACAATGTGATCATAAGGTATTACTCACAGAATCATCTGAAGAGGATGTAGCAGGAAAAAAACAACAATAATTTGATTATGTGATTTGTTCTTTTATTGTAGAGAATCAAGGCTAGCTCTCAGAGAAAAATTTTCCAGTCATTTATTTTAGAGTGTAACATGTGGAGGTGTGTGGAGTGGGTGGTGAGAGAGAGTGTGTTCTAATTTCTATAGAAGAACTGGTAATTGTGCAGGTAAGTAAATGCCCACTGTTTATTTTCTTTTTGTTGGGATTTACTAAAAAAAATGCATTGAGAGCAAATTGGGAATGGAGCTGTAGTTGTACATTCAGCCACCTGTGAAAATAAACACATAGAACTTTATTGATCTCATATTGGAGTATATTATCTCTGCATTTAACCCATCCACTTGGGGAGCAGTGGGCTGCCATCACGTGGCACCCGGGGAGACCCAGAGAGGCAGACTGTGGGGATCGAACCAGGTACTTGCAACCTTCTCAGAGCACAGGCACACTGCTCTAACCACTGGGCCACCACTCCCCTAACAAATCAGATAAGTAGTTTGTTTCTTTTGTTGTAAATCTAAGAAATTGTATGTCATGTGGAAAGGTAAACTAGCATGTAATACAGGTGCTTACAGTGAAGCAGAGATGGGAAGCTTATCTTTCCCCCGAAAGTTGATCAAAAGCCTTCCCAAATCATGATGATACCACCACCTAATTTAAAGATGGGAACTGTTCCTGTACACAAGATACTGTACACCTTAAATGTCACCTTAAATCTCTCCTTCTTTATTTTTTTACCATCCACTGTATATATGTGGATGCACTGTATATACGTCATGCACCTTTTCCTCCTTTGTGCACCTTCTGTTTGTTTATGCCGATGTCACAAGTGAATTTCTCCATTGCAAGATCAATAAAGTTCTATTCTATTCTAAACTCAGGCTGATGAGCAGTTTTGCACCATGCATCGTTTTGCATGTATGCTAAAATGGAAAAAGTAAGAACTCAGACATTTAACAACTCTTTACCAATCTTCTGTAGATGGCAGATAGGTGGAGTGCAGGAATCATGTCTTCTGCTTCCCCACTAGAGCAGCTCCTCTCTGGCTGCCTTTTCAGTAAATCTTTTCCTTGCATCCTCTGTCAAATGAAGTAGTTACTCATGTTTTATTAGCTTTACCACACTTGTTTTCTATCTCAGAGTCAAATAAATTATGCAGTGCAATGAGATGCTGAATGGTTGGGACATTTTTTTCACAAAAGCCAGATTTCTGCAATGCATGACATAGTCTGCACATTCCCATACCTAAGCTTTTATTTATTTATTATCAAATTATGCAAAATAAGGTCATCCTGACACTAAGATTTCTAAATGTTTTTTAGAAGATGAATAATCTGTTTTTCTTTATCCAATTGGGTCAGTTTATAAATATATATTATTACCAATGTGTGCCTAGATGATAAGAAGCATGAATCAGGTTATAATCTCTGAGTTTATTCAGTTAAACCTCCCGGTGTCTATGAATGAATGGATGGAGGGGTAAAGTCTTTTGAATCTCTGCACCTTTAAATTTCTCAGCTCCTCCCTCTTCTCAGTGACAAGCCTGCAGAGCTTCTTCTTTAATGCATCCAGAGGAAATGACAAACCAGAGGCGCTCTGTGGCCAGGCATGTCAAATAATAACACCGATCCTGGGCTTTAGTCTCAACCCGAAACTCAGAGGAGAAAGGCGGCAGCTGGACATCTGCGAGGCCGCTGGTGACTCTGCGGACGCTGGAGCGGACCCGCTGAATGGACGTCGATGGACTGGACTGACGTCCGCTTCAATCGGACCGAACCTGGGAGCCAAACAGAGATCTGCATGTCCAAGTTTCCTGTTCCGAGCAGAGGGAGATCACCGTGTGCTTTTTGGATGCGTGTGGAAGTGCGTGTTGGGTGCGCGGCGCCCGCAGGAGCGGCGGTGATCCTGGAGGTGTCCGCGGGAAGCCAAGTTTAGCTCCGTGATTTTATTTTTTATTTTTTTTTTTTGTTTTTTAACGTTTCCTTTCCTTCAACTCTTGTGTTGCTATCATGTCCCATAAGCGGACAGGTGGGTTAACGTTTCCCCGATGAAAACGGAGCAGCTGTGCAGAGGCTCAGTGATCGTGACTGTGAAGATGATGTCGAGTAAGAGCGTGGAGTGGCTGCAGGACGAGCTGGAGTCCGGGGCAGGCGCGCTGCTGCTGCTTGACTGCAGAGCGCACGAGTTGTACGAGTCCTCTCACATCGAGTCCGCCATCAACCTGGCCATCCCGGGCCTCATGCTGCGGAGGCTGAAGAAAGGCAACCTGCCCATCCGCTCCATCATCCCCAACAACGAGGACAAGGAGAAGTTCGTCAAGCGGTGCAAGACGGACGTGGTTCTGCTGTACGACGAGGCGACGTCGGAGCGACACGAGTCCGCGCTGGGGAGCTCCGTGATGGGGCTGCTGCTGCAAAAGCTGCGGGACGACGGCTGCAAAGCTTTCTATCTGGAGGGTAAATTCACTCAGCTCATAATAATAGTGACATTTCTCTAATAGTTGAAGTTTCAGAAAACACATATGTACCTAAACCCTTATTATGAATATAATTAGATCTGCAACTTGAAGATATAATTAAGTCTGATAATTATTAAGTGCAGTAAACTGTCTTCAAACTTCTAAAATAAAAAGAAGTAAAAAATCCGAATATACTTGTAAACTAAAACCACCATGGAGAGCGTTTCCTCTTTTTATTTACTGATAAAACCCGCCATGTTGGGCTCCTTCAGGGAAATATGAGCATTTTTTCATGAATGAAGAGTGAAACCAGGACACAGAGGCGCTCTTTTGATCCATTCCTTGACTGTATTGAAGTAAACGCAGCCGACGGGTAAACCGGAGTAGATCTGAGTGTCTTGTGAGCCGTGGATGATGGATCAGTTGGACGGGAAGTCACAAGCATGGCTGCCATTCACAAAAAGTCCACTGAGCTGTGAAGCGTTGCTGCCGAGCCTGATTCTCCGCAGGGCGCAGCTTTTCTCAATGGAGCGCGTCTGTGCGCCTTTCTTCCTGCTCATTCCCCACTAAATGACACGTTATTACCATTCATCTGTCTGATCACTGTGCAAAAAAACCTTGCATGAAGGTAGGTGAGAAACATCTGTGCTGTCAGGAAAGATACACCGTTTTATTCATATAATTTGCTTCAAAATCTCGAAAAAAAATAAATATAAATATTTAATTAGGTACTGTCAAGGTCTACATGCGATAAATACCCTAACATGCGTTAGTTTAGAGGGTTGTTTAAGTAAAAGTTATAAAAAAAATCCCAATTTAAAAAAATAAAATATCTTTACATTATTTTATTTTGAAATGTAATGTGTTTTTTTCTAAAGTGATTGATCATTTGTTGATCAGATTTTTCCAGGCAAGTTTCTTTTTTTTT